GAATTGCATAGACATAATATTATTTATCATATATCATTTTCGTTCCAACCGCGGACGCCATCTTAAGGGCCCCGCTTAAAGCGTTTCTAATCAGCTCAGGAACTTCGAACCTTTTCTCGAAAGCGATCTTTTCCGAACAAATTTTCTTTCATCACGTATTATGTAAGTTTGCGTAAAAATTTTTCAACATTAAAGTTACCTCAGTTATCATATACGTGCAAATGTGCAATGCAAATTTTTGGGCTGTATAATAACGAGAACAAAGCAGCAATGAGCAAGTCAAATGGCAGATACCGCCGGACGTAATACTCCTGACATGGGGATAAATGGCTGGACGTTTTATGATATACCTTAATTAGTGAACGTCTTCTGAATTACGCATTGAATATATTTATTATCTTAATTTATATTACGAAGTACGTTTGGTCTATCTTGCTGTATATGTAGCATCTCTAGGGGGGACTCGAATCAATGTGATCGAAGTTCTACGTGCAAAAACAATCACCCACAATTCAGCGATGGGGCATTATTGAGCGGTAAAAAATGCTTGCATAGCTTCTTTTTTTCTTTAACTATATATATATAAATTATCTGATAAGCGTTAACAGTACATATAATGATTTACTTCGAATAAGGATTGTTACAGAGTACGTATAGAATGTTGGGGTACTCGTCACTGTTACAATCGATCCGTACCAAAATGTGCTTTTGTCTGACAGTTTCTTGATAAATTCACTGCCATCTTAATAGCGTGCTTAGTTTAACCACTGTGACAAGTGTCACCGGCGAGATTGACTGCGACTAGTCTACCTCTAGTCGCAGTCAATCTCCCTTATGAAAATTCGTGCACAACATTAGTAATGGGCAATCCGCAGATATCCGGGAATAATTTGATGTTTAGCTAGAGGTTCAATGCCTCACTAAACAGGTCTAAGTTGTAATACAAACCACCTTTAATTACGTTATCCTAAAAATTTCCTAGTTATTTTTTACTATATTCATTCCAACGACTAGAATGTAGCGGTTCATAGAAATTCATCAAGAAGCAACTATACGAAAGATACTTACTTATTGAACAACAGAAAAACTGCTGACTTCTGGCTTGGAAACAGTATTTATGTCAGAAGAAAAAGGAGATTTTTTTTTTATTGCAGCTCATATATGCCTCCTTGATGCATCGGGCGCAATTGAAATTTGATGGTTCCTAGTTGTACTTTGTGATTCTCAAGCTGTCTAATACTGATAACGTCAGCGAAGTGGCACTTGGCGCAGCTTTCGGTAAAAGCTTACCTTCCGTTAACTATCTGGATTGATTCATTTGGGCTGTTAGCGAAAAGAAGCCTTTGTATGAGAAATAAAAAACAGATGGCCATACACAATCATAAGGTGGTTAGTTTCCTGCGATTCAGAAGTCAATATTTGATGAGCAGTAACCGGACAGAAAGGAAGGTCGATTGAAAAATATCAGACATGCCATCGACGAGGCAGTGAACGACACAATAGAAGCAAAAACGGGGAGCCTGACCAGAGAACTCCAGTTGTGGGCTTCCGCTCTCACACACTTTCTCATTAACGGAAGACGATATTATAGGCTCTAGCACATGATTTACGCACAAGTCGTCGAAAATGTGCTTGAAGACAGCGATGGGGTATGATAACAACGTCTCAGCAGGCCAACAGCCTTTTTCAAGATGGACGTCCCGCGTCCAATAAGAATAACTACGACTGACGTTTTTTGCCAGTGACCTATAGCGACTACAGAAATGTCCATAAAGCACAACTACCAGAATGATTCATCTTTCCACAGCAGTCCTGGAAGCTGGGACTATGGCGTAGAACGTACCAAGACTGTCGCATGAGAAGTACGAAAAGCGATATATATATAATGTATTGTTACGTTCAGGGATTTTTTACTATCACTTAATACCAAATGGATTTCTTCGATATAGTCGAATGGAAGTGTTGCTTAAAAATAATTCTTATTCTTAACTTAGGCTAAATATTTCTTCATTGTTAATCGTAAAATTACTTCATTCGAAGGAAGCTATCGCCGCTGCCCATTTTGCCGATACTGTGACGGTATTATGCTTTGTTCGCGGCGCCGTGCTGATGACATGATTCAGGTTCTTGGAAGCGTAAGGTTATACGCCATAGTTGAATGCCTGTCTGACGTACTGGTTGGCCTAGCAAACAATATAACTAGCCGCTTCTGAAAAAGACAACTTATTTATCGAGCTACTGCTTAGCTATCTACCCATACATCGTGCCTGGGGGTACGATGTATGGGTAGATAGCCATGGTGTGCCCTGCGTTGGAAGGCATCTCTTAGCCTAACCAGCTTCCGTCATTAGCTCGAACGCAGATTTTACAAAACGCACAAATAGTCTACATATCTATAATTAATTGTCGCTTATAAATAATAGGCTTATAATTGATTAACTTGTCAAGCTGCCACGTGCTATCAAAATGAAAATACGAAAACTAGCAATAGGAGCTACCATATTCCTTTCCTCCTGAAGTATATCCATAAGCTGTCGTTACACTACCAGCATAACACTGAATTGCTGATACAAAAACCAACTCGACATACTGGTAATTTAATCAACTTTAATCATTTATTTTTTACTGAACTGTTGCAATTAAAACGGAGCTTGCTTTTATCGAGTCTTACTTATCAAACGCCAGTCCATTCGGTAAAGCAAAGAGGAAAAAACTATTATCTAGACACATGTACCCCCTTCCTTTACGGGCCACGCTTCCGTAACCACTTAGTTACGTAACTGTGTAATAAGTTTAACTGGCTGTGCGGATGACGATGATTATCCGAACGGTAAACGAGATCGAATAGAGAAATCTTGCAAAGTGTTAGGCCGTTAGGGGTTATAATAGAACAGAATCCCTTCAAATTTTACAGAGGGGCCTCGCTTGTGGAAGACAAAAAACGGGAATCTTGTTAATTAGACGTTTTACTATGGTCCTATATAGTACAGCACGGTAAGACTGTCCTAAGAGAGAGGACTCATTGTCTGCACAATGTCGTTACAGCATTGTCAAGCGCCAAAACATTCGGTGTGTGTGTGTATGTGTGGGCGCAACGAGAATCTCCGTGTTTCCTTTTGTGTGTACGTGTCCAATAGAATATCTCGCTTCTTCTACGAATAGATTTGTTTGCTATTGCTTAATTCCCCGTATATAGGGTATGTGTCTATCGTATTTATGGCATACTGGCTATCCAGCAGCAGAAAGTTCGATTTGTCTAGGGGGGCAGGAAGGTAGGTAAAATACTGGGAAGAACATCAGCATTTGCCGACGAGCTGACTGCAACCGCTCACTGCCGTGTTTGCTGTGCATGTTTGTTCCAATAACAGAAGACGATACCAAAAAAATGAGCGCAATCTCCTCGATTAATTTGATTAAGCTAAACAGAAACGGCCGGCGACCCTGCATTTGATTGGATTCGTTTGTGTAATTAGTTGTTATTGTTATTTGTCAGTGCTTGGGAAGAGTAGGTACTCGTAACTATCTGGGCGCAATTGTGTCAGTCGTAAATATAGTTTAAATATATTTGTGGCTAACAGCAATACCGAACCTAAGACCCTAAACGTTTGGTACGAACCACATATTTATCATGGCCTGATTGAAGTATGACACTCCCGAATAGATAGAAACGCTACAGATATTCAGAAATATGTTTACACTTTTGCACTCCGTATCTCATCGCAGCTTTTTCCGTTATCGCAGTCGAAACGGCCGAAACGGTTCTGTCATTACGTTCACAATGTATGCTTTTCAATTCAAGAAGAACGTGAGTAAAGTATGACCTGATTCGATCAAGGCAGGTACGAAGGATCAAGCCGTAGACGAAATTGAACTTGATTTGTTTTCTAGGCCAAATCATATGATGGCCGTGCTTTCAATAACGATCTATAGCTTGAAAGAATATTTTTAGCTTCGTTCGATTTCGGACTTGTTCACCCGCACCGATACGTGCCGGCGCGTACGGTCCAGTAATACGTAACTCTTTACGCGATGACACCCACCGCTTATCTAATATGTCAGAGTTTTTTTTTCTACCAAAAAGGTAATGGTTTGACAACATACCTTAAACGAGCTACCATCAGTCGCGCTAGTGATAAAACCAAATCTGTCTGTTGATTCATGTACGTCGTGCAGCCGAGTTAAATATCGCATACATCTAAATCTGTGCTATTGAAATTCGAGTGACCCGATCACGCAGGTCAGACGCCTTAATGAATATGAAGTCTTTCTTTTTACTTCTCTACATTCCGTTTTAATATTCCGCAACCGTCCGCTTTCTGCAATTGAAAAATAAATGTGTAATTTTTGTACCGAAGATGCTTTTGCGACTTGAGATGTCTGAAGCTACATGAAGTACAACGTTCGCAGTCATTTAGATCGATGAAACAAAGACTATTCTCTTCACTCATCAGACAAAATTGTTTAGGTTTCCCATTGAACAAAATCAATAGAAACAACAAACATAATCAGTATAAACAAATTACGTTGTCACACATGAGTGCGATAATGATTTTTCTGCTGAAGCATAAACGCAAGCAATCCTCATACTTTGTCTGGTCATCATTGATATTACATCAAACACACAATTTTCTCTCCTATGCGATGGGCCGGAATCTACCGAAAACGTGCAGATATGCATCCATTAATAAATCGAAACATCCATCAGTAGCCTAATATTTTTGTGAGCGCACAGATTGGCTCATTGCCACAGGGCTTAGCTAATGCTCACCTCATCGAACCTTGCTGGTGGTACCATCAACCGGGATAGCCGGTCGTCATGTTTCTGCTGCGAAATTTCAAAACACGTCTGCAATAATGCTCCGCTATTAGCGGACACTACGGCGGTCTGGTCGAGTAAGGTTATCTAGACAAACAATACGACTCGACGGTGTACAGTAGCAGATGGCGGCCGATGAATATTTGAATAATGAGCGGGTCAGAGCTATTCTACTTGACAGAAAATCATGCTACCGATACGTTGACGACGAGTGCTACGCGGGTCTGTTCGGCTATTGGGGTTTCTGTGCGATTGACCCCACCATAACGCCATCGCAGCACTATAACAGCGTGAAATGAGAATCGTAGCGTTGGTACAGCGCAACACATAGGACTTTCGCTGCTACGCGTACTGCTCTTCGAGTGGCCATGCTGTCGTTAACGCCAATGTTATACTGCGTAGAGGCAGACACTTCTGATTCAGGACAGAAAGCGCTTCGAACAGCGTCGCATCTGCGCCGGTCAGCAAATAACACTGAACATTGCTGAGCCTGAGTTGCGTGGAGGGAGTTGTTACTTGTTGGATGTATACAGATCGATCTTCGTTGCATAATCTCACGTGTACGTACGTACAGCTCTAGACGATTAGTATTATAGCGAATGTATAGAGATATCAGTTGGGCTCTTTTGATAAGCTTCTCACAGCTTAGCGTCAACACAACAGTCTTCTCTAAAGGCGGACATGATGAAAGCTCTGCCTAAAACGCAACAGCATCAGATCATCTGCTTCAAATCATAGTACCTAAAACTGATATTTATTAAACAAATGACCTCGTTTCCATTAGCTGGCCTGCTCGAGCTGTTCTTAGTGTCAGGTGTTTTTCGTTACGGTGGAACTGCCTGTAATCGCGCTTTCGGTTTCTAAGTCGATCGATCATATTGGCTATTATTTAGGTTCCGAAGGCTGACGCGTTTAATAAGAACCATTCCTCTCGTGAAAGTAGTTCTATAAATGATAATCTATAATGAAAGTAGCGGCCAATCACTAATTCTGTTCAGTGGTATAACTAATTTGGTAATTTATCTTATGCAAGTGTAGCAGGTAGATGCCGATGTTGCTGCTTCCGAATTCACTTTCGATGAAAATAGGAAATTAATCGAAAGGATCTGTATCTATCGATCTGTGACGAGATCCTTGCCATCTTCAACCCTTTTACCTGGCATCGTGACGGAATCACCACAGGCGTACACCGACATCACACGCAGCAACCTAAATTGCGCTTTTCCGCAACGAAACGCCCATTTCTGCAGTTTAGCGGTGATTGTTGTACAACAGAGACAAATCGTGAGCGATCTGCGGACGATGGGCAACAGACGGCATTAGGCGCAGCTGTTAAAGGGCAGACGATGATATCCATCATCATTATTACCATCGGCAGGAAAAAATGGTGACTATAAATCGGGAGCGTCCGGAAACTTTTCGTCTGAATAAGAAATGGTGTAGGAGGAATGGGTAAGCTGCTGTGTCGATGCTAGTCGATTTTGCTGTAAGTGGTCTTCAGGCCGCATGTGAACGGGCCTATACTTTCCATGACGAGCAGTCACGGTTGGGTCTTCTGATCGCTATTTCATTACCTCCAAGTACAGTATGAGCACAGTGCGTATAGAGATAGCACTTAGTGGGTGCATAGGGTTATGACGTTCACAGCTACACCAGTTAATACTTGTAGACGCAGCTTATATTAATATAAGCATGGGACCGTGACGAGTGAGAGATATATCATATTCTAGAGGATACATTCGAGGGAACGTTTTTCGGGTCAATAATCTGTTACGAGATGGACCTAGTATTACAGCAAGGATAGTTTTGTCGATTGTGATTGACATTTACGAAGTCAATCTTGCCAAACAAAATTCTATTTACAGCTGGTTAAAAGTCATATGAAACTTTGTGACAAGGCTCATTACAATAAAAACACACTTTTTGCCTTTATAAATATGCCGTGAAGTTTTCGGACTTACACTCCAATATAACGAAGCGCTCAAATTGTACGTAATGGACATTTGTCCATTTTAGAACCCTTCCATCCCACTTAGGACATAAGTACTTAAAAAACTACGTTGACTCTAATGATTGCCGAGTATATTATTAGAGGTATGACATCGCATTCATCGCGCCTAAACGGCATCGCACGGAAAATAATTTATGCGCAAAAACAGACTTTCTTGTTTATATGCATACGCACACACACACACATACACATATATAAACATCCATGCCGATTTATGTTTATTCATTATAACTGTTTACGAAAAAAAGAGTATGTTCAGTACCGATTATACCGATGCCGCCCGCAATTTCGTTCGTAACTGTTGATGGCTCCCCATACACGGAAACGCATACATCTCTATGGTATTGATCCAGTAGCAGAGATGCTCACGATTTGTTACATGAACACGATAGGATAACTAGATACGTACTGAAGATAGACGTATAAAAAAACAAGCAAAAATAGAAACGTGAAATAAGCGCCAATGGTGCCCACTTTTTTTTGGATGATAGCGCGAATTTGAAGTATGAGACAGCGGCCGAATAACGAAATCGTCGGCGAGCTGACAGAGGAGTTGCATCGCTTCGTCGACGTCTATCTGCATATGAAAACAGGGAGTAAAGAATTGGCCGACGTGGCAACGCTACCTCTGGCCGCCTATGACCCCTTATACCTCTTCATGTTTTCGCTGCTGCTGCTGCTGCTGCTGATTAAAAGCTTTCATGACACTGCCTGTTAGTTGCTCCTAAAGGATGCCCCTGCTCATCTTGAGTCGCAGAAGGTCATAAAACATTGCCCCGCTTTTTTATAAAATATGAATGGCTCATACAGGTGATTGATTCGAATAATTCATATATTGGATATTCTTATCATATTAATGCCTGCACTATATCTAAGCGTGTCTGTGGCAGGGTCCTGGGGTCAACGGCCACAACTGTCTTAGAAAGTCATAGAGGATTACGTTAAGATTATGGGCCTGGCTAGGCTTGCGTACACTTAGTTTTTTCAGCAAAAACAGAAAAACATAACCGACCACTGATTCAAAATGACGCTGTTAGTATGTGATAGGTCGAAACAATTCCGTAGACAGATATATTTTCTGTAGTGTAAAAAATCTTTTTGCCTTAATTACCATTTGTTCGTTTTAATTGAATTGGGTTAATAACATCGACCTGTTGTATGCATCTGTAAGCGGGAAACTTCGCTTTGTCCTTGAGCCGTGGCAATAAACAGCATCCTTTTACTAACTTTGTAAACAATCTTACTTACGCCACATACACAAAAGAATACAACACTTAAAGCAAATGTTGAATTTAATAAGCACAAAAACGATCCCAGAGCACGTTCACCCGAAAAGCATTATTCTAGTTAAGCTTTCGAACTATGTGTACCCCAAACAATGCATGAGCTAGGCGTAAGTAAGCGCTGACCAGATCTACAGCCAGTGAATCGTAGGAGGACCCTTTTCTATTCCTTTAATCCTGGCATGATAGGAAGATGGGATATAACAGGAAGCCCATGCAGCTACCGAATATTTAACTTCTGCATATAGAATCTTCAGGTTCTACAGTAACTCGTTGCCCGTTTTTCTATATGTACGTATTACTTGTTAAGTCCTGTCTCAGGCGTCATGCCATTTTGCGTTACGTATACATAATCAGGACGCCTGTTTTAAGCGGACATAAAAACGGTTAGAAATATTTAGCTGTGTGTGTCTTTAATGAACAAAATGGCGAAGCCAAGAGCTCGACCTAATTTCGAATGCAAGAAGGTTTCTTATTCTTACCTCTTTGTCGTATCCTTTATTAAGTCAATGTATTTTACGATCATATAAGACTTGCTTCTGGACGAACATGATGTTCGATAAAATGGTTGTTTCTAATGTTTATATAATGTTTGCCCCTTATTCTGCTCTTCTGTCGGTAGCTCTGGCTGATACTCGCTGGTCGCGTCTATTGAATCAACCTTAAAACGGTATGTTTTAATGTAGTTATTAAGTTTCTATACGGTTGTCGTTTGTTACGTCAGTATTATGAAAAATATCGGCGGTCGAAGATTTGCTTCATATGTGTATGTACGCTGGTGCGTTTTCCCTCTTTTCCATATGACTAGTGCATTTTATTAACATATTTAATAAAAACATTTGTATTCTTAATGGACTTTGTCGATTGTTTCCAGACGCGTCTGTGAGCGTCGTTTATTGGCACACTGCCCCAGCCATTGCGTAGCCACCATCGTCAACAACTCCCATTATTTTAATGTATGCCGTTTGTCTCACCGCACCACTATGACGTGTGAATGGTAGCTTGTGCTGATAAGTCGTCGTTGATAATGACATTAGTACACGTTTTGGTAGAACGTAAACGTACCGTGCCTTTGTGCTCGGTGTAGTATTTGATTCTACTTGAAACGCTCGTAATTTGCAATACGTTACGACTCGATTGGACGGAACGGCTGGCCTCAGCGTCAAAGGCTAACATCGGTGCACTACAAATTGTACGTTCGGTCAGTGTCATGTTTGTATTTATGGTGCAAGCTCCAGTCAGATTGAAGTTATCGCATCATATTTATGCTGCTGCACGGGTCAGGGATTATGCAAAAATAAGTTCAAATGAGAAGCGACCGGCGACAGGATCAGCGCAGCTACATAATACGGTTACGATAGCGGCTGAGTCAATACGCAGAGCATCTAGCTCAAGAGGTACGAGTCATCCGTTACAGATTTAGTATGTTCTCAGGCCAATCGAACCAAAGCGGTAACGGGCCAAAAAATGTATTGTTTAGCAATGCTGCGCTTACTCATCGTTCGCGATCGTTACCTGTGGAGTTGCTACCGCTTCTGCCGATACTACCGGAAACGAAATACTTAATTGAACTTTGACCGGACCACGAGCCGACCAATAGCGTTCAGTCCCGACCGCTACATGTTATTTTGCTCATTGACACATACAAACAAAAAAGGTAAACACAGCTAAATTGGACCCAATCCAAGAGACGCACAGCCGCGAATGTACACACACTGTGTATTTATGTATAGACAGATCTGATTGGTGAACTGCTGGGCCACTGCTATGGAAGGATTGCAGTTGGAACGACAACGAGGATACAGTAATAGAAGGAATTTTTGACGGTAATCGTCCATCGCGTAGCCGTTGCCACTATCGTGCATCGTTTTATTTCTCTCTCATCTGTGCTGTTCGCACGCCATTTGAATAATATCGAAAAAAAAAAACAATCAACATCAGCACTTCAGACGACGTGCGCCGCGCGATCTTCCTACGAGTAGACACACACCTTCAAGCAGTTAAGCGATTACAGTGGCATTGGCAACGTGAATCGTAGCAGAAGTCGATACAAATACTGTTGTTGGTCGAATTATGTCGCCGACGCGGCGTTGCTGCCGAAACTGCGAAGGGTCTGCCATTGGTAAAGGAAAGCTAAGGCATACCGATGCTATCCACGCAGAGGAGATGGCTGATCGGTGCCAAAAGGATGCCTTACTTGGCTGATGCCACACGCGACTTAAACGAGGCATTCACGAGCGAACAAAGGGTTGTCGCCAGCTCTTTGTTTGTTTCCCTAGCAGTCAACGGTCTGACATTAGTTTGTGGCTGTCCGGTTTTACAGCAGCGTGATGTGAATATTAGAGAATAATCCACGGCAGGATGCAATAACAATAGCGGCAGCTGTAGCAGGAATCCTCAGTCAATTAGATGACAAGCTCAATAATAAGAATCGACGATCCGACGAAGTTCGTATTGAATTTACACATTATAGATGGTCTTTTGTCATAGCTTCATTAATGGCTTGACTTTTTTCCATAGCAACTCTCTGTACAAAAACAGACGGGTAGGCGGATTTTTAATAGGTGTTCCTTTGCCGTTATACGTTTTCATGTCGTTGCCTGCTGCATTGTCACGATTTCTATGTGATAACATTTGCCAATTGCATTCGTACGATCGTACTTGTGTATAATTTTACATAGAACGTATTAAGGAACGTTACGATCTGTAGCTATTGCTGGATGCTAATGGCAAAAATGGTGATTAAGGCAAGATGAGGTGATAATACAGGGAATCTATTAGGCCAACCAAACATAAAAGCTTGTAATATTTAAACATAATATGAAATGTCCTATCAGAAGCATCATGATTAGAGCTAAAGCTAGTGAGATCAAAGTAGGCTGAGGTTTGATCGCCCGAACCCCACGTAGTCTTCTGGCTTCTTCCAGTGTGCGATTTCGTTGGTCCAAATTGGATATCTTCGGTCCGTATTCCTGCAGCTGATATATACTGGATCCTTCTTTCGCCTAGATTTGTCGCGGAAGGACTGTAAATTCTCACAAGCTATACATTCTATGAGGCGTTAAAACCATTCTATTTCGTAGAGTTCTTCTACACGAGATAATATGGGTGCAGCACCTAAATTGGGACAGGTTTTGGGGTCTATTTCTCGTCACATGCACGTATTCATTCACTCGCTGATACTGCCCCTCGAAACCTAGCTCGCGAAACCTAACAGGCTCGTCAACAATGAACAATATATACACTAACTACTAACTAATATATATACAATATATACAATATATACAGAACAAATATTTTATTTCACATCGCATATGCCCTAAAAAAGAACACAAACATTTTACACGAAATCGATGCTCCTCGTTATTGTGTAGTTTCATGCAGCTTATTGACAATCCGAGAAAGATTTTTCTAGATAAAGCAATAAGTGCTCAATATAGTTAAAATTTAAAGAAATCGAAACGGAACGTTATTTTTGGTATAGATAACTTTAACACATACAAATTAAATCCATTCTATAGAGAAGGGCATTAGTTGCCAACTGGATCGTCCAGATGAGCTCCAGTGGTGAATTTTTTGCACCTTTTGAGGTTTTTAGCTGGCACAACCTTTACATTTTTGGGAAAATCGAAAGTTAGCCCCGTGGGATTTTTTTCGTAGTTGAGCGATACTTGAAGGAGTTTTCGCCAATGAAATGTTAATTGCAAATGGAAAAAGAAATGTTTTTAAATGGCTGATAGGTGATGGTTATATTGAATGAACGAACATCCGTTTTGAGTTTCTGCAAAAAAGTTCCTCTGGAGAAAAAGCAAATAAAGTCTTATTTTATTACATTATATTTACTATATTATTATTATTACAACAAATATATCGCATAGATCCGATACACGGAAGCAACATGAAGTTTTTCATATCTATCTTAATATAGCAAATGAAGCATTATTAGAACAGAAACCATAACAGGAAAGCAAGTTATATTACGTGCATCGTTATAACTAACTTGTCTTTCGAAGTTATCAAATGATTGGCGCTTAAGTAATCTATCGCAGTTAAGTAACGATGAGTTCGATAATGAACTCAGCATTGTACATGAAAGACACCTAAAAATTTTAAACGGTATTTATCAAGTGTGTGGTGGAAGTTTCTTATGAAAAAAAGGTTACTTTGTCGGAAAAAATAGGTGTAAAGCGTAATTTTAAGCGACGACAATCGCTAGATTTCACTTTCTGAATTTTTATACGAAACACAGAAAGGTAGGTGACATTTGAAATACAGCTTATGTCACTGCTGTCCGATGAATTGCAGAGACATTGTGTCAACGCCGTACGTTTCCTTTTCCAATTGTACTCTAGCTTTGAATTAGATCGATAAAGCAACTTCAGTAAAGTTGTGAGGCTTACCCTCGATTGCCCTTGCTGCATTGATCGAAAGTCACAGTTCAGATATTAATTCATCTGAAGATGACTGGATGCGATACACTGCTCAGGCTGTGTATGAGCACCGTTTTTCGGCCCGTGGTGTCGATTGCCTATGATGGATAGCACGATTCTACCGAATGATTAATAACGAAATAGTGTTTCTAGTTCGGTCATTAATTTCGTTCCATTCCCTCATTTTCTCCTTCTTTCACGGCCTTTTTATACTACAGCGCGTACGGCCACTGTAACTTCATGGACCCGGTCGCTCACGAGGCTTACCGGTGTACAGAATGAAGGAAACGGTCGTTTGACAGCTTGAGGGTCTTCATTTTGCCTCTGTTAAGTAGCAGGACATGTAAAAGATATAGTAGAGAAAAAAAATAACAAAAGCATACTTTGAAACAGTTGAGAGATTTCTTCACACTATCAGGTGACTTGTGCTTCGTCTGTCAACTAGCGTTCGCTGGGGTCTTTAGCGCATCGTTCTATTGGAGCGATGCAATGCGCCGACCAAACACAAGCCATGCCGTTGCGAAGTTACCCTTCAATAGCTGCGTCCAAGAGCAACATGTCTTCTCCGCGAAGAGAGATCGTTCGTGGCGTTGCTGTTGCATCCCAACGTTGCCTCAGTGGCAAGACAGCGTAGAGAGGGTTCGCGCACTGTGCACCGGTATCATGGTAAAGCTATAGCGAACACCGACAGCTCACAGAAGGCAATGCCAGTGCCGTAAGAGCCGCAAACGCGCAGACAACAGACAAAGGGAAATCGCGACCCCTTGGCGTCTGCGGCGAGACAACTGAGACGTTGTGCCGAAGAAGGCGCAGACACAATTCAGCACTACCGCATCAACTGGTATCCTGCCAAAGCGCCGGTCGTGTGTCAGTCTCTTCGGTCAGACGGCGCAGTCGGGTGTTCGACGCGCGGAATCTGTCCCCTGACGGTGGAGTGCTTATCCAACTTTAAACCCTTCCATAAGCATAGTTTCTATACAATAGCAAAACATCTTATATCTTCCGACGCTGTCCTTATCTTACCCCCTACCCCGTTCCCACACGCTTCTTCCTCGTATTTGCCTCAACTTTCCTATACCTATTATTTGTTTTTTATACCTTTAAAAAACTAGCCTAATTTGGCCAAGCCATTTCTTGTGATTCAAGCGCAGGCTGGGTTTTCTTTGTTAGTTCTAGGCTATTTGTAAGGCTTTTTTTTTTTGGCTCTACGTGCTTCTGTTGCGAAGAGCTCGATCTTTGGACTAAACTTCCACGCTACGTTTAACCTCCTACGGAACTCGCCTGCTATCTATGAAATTACTCATTGATATAGTTGTAAAATTTATTATCGAACCATCGTGTGAGAAGTTAGAAAAAAATCAAGTTGTGTGACTGTGTGCGTGTGTGTGTGTGTGTGTGTGTGTTGCAGAAGTTATTGATTACCGTCGGGGCGTGTTTACACATGTGCATTTATACAGTGTTGGACATAGTTAAGTTTTATCGTGGACTGTCAATTGCAGGACGAGCTACTATAAAATCGTTCTAAAATCCTGACCTTTTTAGGCTAAGGAAGATCAAAATCATCTGTTTGTGCGAGTGTGAGATTAACAGTGGTGCGTATCGAGATGGGTTTGCCCGCTCGTCCGAGAACTGTGGTATTAAAACCATTTTTAGTACACGGAGCTCGCTGGATTCTAGTTCTCCCATGTCTCGTAGCAATACACTGTACGACGAAAGCTGATGGTAAGTTTTGTTAAAACTACTGAAAAATACGGCTGTAGGTTCAAGATATTCAACACGTCCACATGTGTAGGAGAGCGGTAGTAGAGGGTGGACGGAGTTGGAACTAGTAGAACTTGTGACAAACCTTATCGGAGATTTTTTATAGGCGAGCTGAAAGTATAGTTGTATGTAGAGAGGAAATAGCCATACTGATTTTATGCGATTTCTGTATTAGGCCTGAATCCTGCTTTATTTTCGGCGCGACTATACGTTTAATACTTTTTTACTTACTGCCATTATTCATTTCACTCATGTTGTAGTTTGAGAGATTATGGCTTCGTAATAGTTGATTAACGTTTTCTTGAATGCAGGAACGCATGTTTCCTGTAGACAAGGTAAAGCTATTTTCTATGGATGAAATTACCAAAAAATTTGAGTATCAAATCTCTTACCTACCGTCGAGTTAAACTGACGGAAAATGTAAAAAAAAAATAGACCAGAAATTTTCATATCATAGATGAGAAATTGTTTACCGTAACTATTTGTATTTACTGGATGCTTACTCTAAGGGTTAGGCGAACTTCGGGCAGTCTCAGGCTGCAAACCACTGTAAGCATGAAGATGTTGCCTAAATCTTTATTTCCATGAGTAAATACTCTTCATACTATCCTTTGAATATAATCGAGTATATATATTCTGATTGCGTCTTATCGGTCGTACATCACATTGGTGTTCTTTAGAGTATTCATAGAATGATAACGAAACAATATGGAATGAGGGTCACGTCGAGACCGCGTCGGTTCCTTGACAATCGCCGAGTGATCCTTTCTTGCCGGTCACGCTCATTATTAGTCACTGTATAGTAATTGTGCTGCCAATATACTGGACCGGTGAATATAAATTATGTTGACGAATTGGAATGGTAGACAATCGTGACATTTTCCATCGGCGCGGTTCACGTAAGGATCGCAGTTGGGGGAGAGCAGATGGTCAAATGTGCTTTATACATGCTAGTGCGTATGGCGGTAACTAGTCACATATATTACAGTGGACGATAATGGAAACAAGCACCGCAAATGAGATTTTTTCCCGTAAACTCTACGTCTAAGGTCTTAGGGGATACAATAACGGATAGCAAATTGCGTCAAACATCACATTGGTTTATGGTGAAATTTTATGGAGAAAAAAATCACCGTTGGTCCGAGTCAGACTAAGCAAATATATTATTATCGACAATGTATTTCCTTTTATTTTGACCACCTAAGGGCAAAAGTCACGAATTGATTTACGTCTCGAATTCAACTTACCACCTGTGCGCTATAGCACAGCTTTGTTCCAAAAATCTGAGTCACTAAACACCTCTTTCATATCGTCACTTCGTCGAACTTCGTAAAGGCAAGGCCTTGGGCACAGTTTTGTGGTTCTCTTTGATGTAGTCTCTTCGGGTGCTTACTCTGTTGTTGCTGATTTCGGCTTTTCTTTCCTTGCGATGGCCAGAAGCATTCCTATTTGCTTACGAAAGTGCAAACTGCCTCTTATCTGGTATCTAAGAATGAATTGAAAACCTAGTGGTCTAGCCATAAAGATGTCTGTGTGTAATCGTGCGCTATGTTCATCTCTAGGTCGACTTGTGGTAAACATATATATATATATATATATATAGATATTAGATAGAAAGGGAAAACGTCTGAATTCTTCCTCGATGCGATGATCCTCGCAGTTTGATATTCTGTCATACAGTTAGTCAATAACTGCCTTCTCTGACTGCTAATATCATGTGACCCAGAAACACGGGCCCAAACATGACACGGATACCTAACCCCTAAAATCCTAATGATATTTCGCTATTATCTAGTGACGAAATCAGTTCATGGATAGTTCAACATTCACTCTGCAGAATGAACGACCATCCCTATGAAACGTGGTTACCCAGGAAACCTGCGGGCTAAAAAAACAGCCCAAAGTCTTACAATGACATCTCGATGGCAGATTTCATAATAGGCTTAAGGTTTATGAAGGTCGCATGACATTCGGTAAATAATGTCATATAGCAAAGCATATCATTTCAAAGGGACCTTGCGAATACATAACTTCAATGCCACGTCGTCGAACATAGGTTGCATCAGTGAGATCCGTTTCATTTACCGTAGACCCTACTATCCACCTGCACTCCAGCAGGACGGCTGTCAGATGACCATAACAGTTCAATACGTCAGTATGCGGTCAATGTGTCGACAACAATGATTAATATTGCTTATTAGAAATGCTGTTTATTTTGGTTGCTTACGCAATTCACTATCATTATGAATTAGTATCTATTGGACGTGTCTTCATAGATGGTGTAAAATATATGCTAGTAGCGAATATGACATCGCCGCTGCTGTTGTTCTTCACGCGAGCGGTTCGCCTGTACCGCCCGGACACAGCTGGCAGTCTCGTGGTGGTATTGTGTCAAGCGTCCATCCATCGCTGCGATTCTTTAGTGCCCACTGGATCGGGACCGCCCGCTGGGCATAGTAGAATGCATACATACGTACGTACGTACGTACGTACGTACACACGCACAGGCATTTAAGCACATCCAAAAACCAATCAGTTGCTAACAACGCCTCTATGCGCACCCCTGGTTAGACGACGATGATCGCAGTAATGTCGATAACGACGTGACGAACAGCTTTGACGGTCAATCACAAACCTGCCAACCAGACCCTATAAGCTAAATCGAATCTGGCCACACAAGCCGACAGACTCTGGATATCGACACCGCATAGGGTCCTGTAAGGGCCCCCATAAGCTTAGCAGGCTAGGAAATAGCAATCGTTATATCCAGTTTGACACACCCTGTCTATAGCAGCCGTACTGAGTACAGTACCCACTGACAGCAACACATAGGCACACAGGCCACCAAAATCGTCAAGTGGTCGCCGAAAGTCAAAGACAAAAAGCCACTTACTCTCACTTTAATTTATTTATACGCATCTCTGCTGCGAGGTGTGAACAGAAGCTGAATGTTGATAGGATAAAGTTCACACAGATATATGCACAGCAGACAATCTTGATGATCTCTAATGACGAATGATGATTGTTCCTCTGAAGGCAATCGATAGCGTTACTATTAGTGTTGCCCTCGTCGAAGTAGAATACCCACTGTGTGCTCACCCCTTTAATTTATAAGGTATCTGTGGGGTTCATTTTTTTTATCTAAGTAAATCGTCCGCTATTGTCGCTGCTATTTGCTGTGTTCTGTGTTGGTGAAGGCGGGGGGAGGGAGGGGGCAGTATGTGTTTTGTACGCTCGTTTCACTCATTTACATGCATCCATATAGGCTCAACTCTGCAACAATGTGTATACATTGTTCCGTTAATTCATTGTTTTACCGTGCTACCGACCATCGAAGGATCGATGGCTCTATTCAGTGCGTTGAAAAGTGGATGACGGAATCGAATGGCAATTGCGGATTGACTAGGACAACAACTAAATACATACGGCCTGATACCTAACACCTGATACTGCCACCCAGTTCCCTGAGCGCCAATACGGCGCCCGTGGCGCTATTATGCAACAGAGCTTGAAATGAATGTTAGTCAATCGGACTGAGGTGTTTTGTTTAAGCAAATAAACAGACAGTCTTGATAATATTGACTATTTGCCGTAAAAGATATGCGCGTATCTATGGCTGAAAATAGAACGTGCATTATTAAAGCGATGTCTAGTATTGCTAGACGATAAACCTGGAGATAGCTAGTGGGTGAGTATCGTGTGACACGCACCCAAACAGACAGCTGTTGTGTATAAATGAGCCTGAATTTAGGCTCATATCGCTATCTGTATTGGGCCGACCTCCCAAGTATAGTAGAAAATAATTGCCAGTTTAGCTTATTAGCTGCAAATATAAGCGACAAACGACTACAAGAAAATGCCTTTTATTAGTAGTACTAGGCACCTCTCACTAACATGAACTTAAATAAATTGCCAACATTGTCGCAGAGTGGTACAACGAAGGACATTTTGATCTGGAAATCGTCTGCATAACAGGTAATTTTCGCCCTTCATGAATGCACATCTAACCGAATGTGTCTGTCTCATGTGCAAACCGTACCCTGTTTTTACAGCGTCGTAGGACAGAGTATGTTTGGCGGAAGCACACATTTCTTGGAGTGATCAAACTGACAAATCGTAAGTTCGACAATTTCAAACAACGGGTTTGTTTTTAGCTGGGCCTATTTTTGATTTGTTGACACAGAGAACGACAGTTTACCGTATATATTCAGAATAGAGACTGAGTGACGAGGGACATCAGTAGCAGAAGGTATGAAAAGGGACGGCGGGCTAAACAGTATTGCATAGCCAGAGGCCATAATCAAGATCATTGGAAGAAAGTAAATAAAAATGCTGCTTATCCTGTTTATCAGATGCGAACAGTTTTACTGAAAGTATCAGGCGAAGTTCTTCTTCCGGCGTTAACGGCGAACGAATGATCGATAGCGCGTCTCTACAACAACCAAATACGAACTTAACATGAGGTAATTCTGCAAATAATCAAATCCTATTAATTATATCATATTAATCATATAGGGTTTGAAGAATATGCGAGCGCCACAAAAGTATCCGTAGTCCGTCGTCCCTTTATTTACGTGCAAATCACAGGAAAAAAAGAACTTCGAACGATCTTCTATATCGAACTCGAGCGATGCACGTTTTACTGGTTCAGCTTACCGTCAACCGTGTTTCTGTTCAGACGCTTGTTCAGCAACGAAGCTGTATGGATTTCAGATATATATATATATATATATATATGGTATAATTTCATACGCCTCCCGGAACTTCGTATCCATTTAGATAGAACTCGAAGGGCGATTCTTTAACGTTATCTTTTAGTGTACTGCTCAGATTGATCTATTAGTTGACGTTGAAATCATTACAACATTTCCGCTATCCAATACAATAACTGAACATTTGATCGATGCAGCAGTGATAGATCGGACTTGAATAGCTGATCGGGCTCGAATTAGCAGCCCTGG